CCGCGCTGCGCAGCGCCCGGGACCCCCTCGCCGCTGGACGGGACCCCCAGTCTGGGGCCATGCGCCTGGGASTCGCCATTCTGCGCTCCCGCGCCCGGGACCGCCCCGCAGCTGCACGGGGCTCTCGTCGTCGATGCCTCTTGCTTGACGCCCCCTCCTGGCTGCACCGGGGCCGGGAGCGCCCCCGAGCTGGACGGGACCCTCGGTGTGGGGACGTGCGCCTGGGGGCTGCTGCCTGGCGGCCCCGTGGCCGGGACCCCCCCGGAGCTGCGCGAGCCTGTGCTCATGGACACGTGTCCCTGGCTGCCCCCTCCCCATGGCGCAGCAGCCGGGACCCCCCCAGAGCTGGACGGGGCTCTTCTTGTCAACACGTCCTCCTGGCCGTCCCCTCCTCACTGCGCAGCAGCCGGGAGCCCCCCGCAGCCAGACGGGTCTCTCTTTCTCGACACATTCTCGTGGCCGTCCCCGCCACACTGCGCGATGGCCGGGAGCCCCCCAGAGCCAGACGGGGCTCTCCTTGAGACGTCCTTGTGGCCCTCCCCTCCGTACTGCGCAGCGGCCGGGACCCCCCCAGAGCCTCCCAGCGACCCCTCCCTGGACCCTGTGGGGCTGACGGTGCCGGAGCTGGCGGATGCCGGGATGCTCTCCCAGGTAGGTGCRCTCTGGCACAGGTGGGACCAGCCCTGACATCCTTGCCCTGTGTGGGCTGATGTGCAGCAGGGCTTGGGGCCATGCAGGGGCTTCTGCGGGGGCGGTGGCAATGTCACCTACATGAGCACCAGGGGTGTCCCCTCTCCTCCCCCCGCCAGGGCTGACCCCCCCTCCCTGCTCACTCCCTCGGCCCGCCCGTCCTCCTTGGTGGTTCCCTGCATGCTGTCTGGGGTCTCCGCTGGCCCTGAGGCCACAGGGCAGCTGGGCCCTGGGCAGGAGCTGTCCTGGTGGGTGTCTCTGCTGCTCTGCCCTCCTGCTCCCCTGGGGACCCCCAGGCCCTGCCTCAGCGCGCTGCCGTTGCCAATCCCCCCATCTCACCCCGCTCTGCTTCCCTGCAGGAGCTGCCTGCGGATCTGCTCTCTCTGCTGGAGTCCCTGCTCCCGCTGCAGCCCCACACCTGAGTGGGACTCTACGGGACCCCCGGCACCGGCAGCTTCACGATGCACCAGGCGGCTGGAGCAGCTCTGCATACATGGGGACACGCGGCCCCGTTCGGACACTCGGGGGGTGGCGGGACGCGGTGCCTCCTGTGTGAGGCTGGGGATGTGCTGGGGGTGCCCACGACTGTACATAAATAAACCCTGTGCCCATGCCGTGTGTCACCTCTGTCCCCGCAGCGGGCGCAGGCCCCTGCTAGATGGTTGGGGCTGTGGAGGCCACAGGGCCGGGGCGGCTCGTGCCTCCATGTGCTGCAGGGGAAAGGGCCTGTCCAAGAGTGGAAACGGCTGCGTGGGGTGAGAGCTGGGGGGAGCTCCCGGACAGAGTCCCACGGGCTGCAGGGCAGGGTCCCCATCAGGGCCCCCTCTAAGGGACTGGCAGCCAGATGCCAATTTGCCCGGGGGGCTTCTCCTCCCCCACAGGACCATGGGGTCTGTAGGGCTAAGGAGCCCCACTTATCTGTGAAATGACTTGCTAATAATGTTAATTCCTGCTGCCAGGGGCATGGTGCCTTTGAGATGCAAAGCAGCCAGTCCCTTCCCCACAGCCGGTCCCTGTTGGCTCCAGCGCAGGGACTGGGCAGACACAGATAGGGGGACAGCATCTGGGGGGCTGAAGGCAGACGTAGGCTTGGAAGGGATCCGTGTGTCCCTGTCCGGGCCCCACCAGCAAAGCACCCGTGGCGTCCAGCCACTGCACCCCTTGCACTCAACTGGGTGCCCCACAAATTGCTCTGCTTCCCCCCCAGGGGCCCCCCATGCCTGGCTGCCCCTGCCAGCTCCTCGCAGAGCTGCTTGGCCCCAGAGCCTTGGACAGGCGTCCCCTGGCCTGGGGTGCCATGCAGGGGACACTGCAGCCCGCAGCCAGCAAGGCTTGTCACCTCTGCAGCTGTGACAGGGGCTCCGGGACCACCAGTGTGGGGAGGGGGTGCATGGAGCAGGACAGAGCCGACCCTGCGGGACACCCCTTGGAGGGGCCTGGGCAGAGCTGTGTGTGCACGCGTGCATGTGTGTGTGTGCATACGTGTGCGTGTGTGTGTGCTCACACACATGTGTGTGCATGAGGACTGTGTGCACCAGGCCAGGCTGACTCCCTCCTCCTAGGTGGTACAGGGGTGCAGGAGAGACCGTTCCAAGAGCACGGGTTACGTCAAAGTGCAACCCGAGCTCCCAAGGGCATCCGGCTGCTTGTCCATGTGTGCTTGTAACCAGGGATCCCCGCGGCAGCAGCAGCGATCCCGGCGGCAGCGATCCCACAGCAGCAGTGATCCCGGCGTCACTGATCCCCACGGCAYTGATCCCCACAGCAGTGGCACTCGAGCCGCGGCGGGCGCAGCCCATGTGGGGGTCCTCGGAGCAGGCAGGCGGGCGAGCGTGAGCAGCGGCCGGGACATGGCCCAGCTCAGCGCCGGAGCCGGGACGGAGGCTGGAGGTGGGTGCGGGAAAGGGGCTGCTCCGTCCCACGGAGCATCTCGATGTGGATGGAGGCTCCCTGTGCCCATTGTAGGGCCAGGACGGGTGCTCTGGAGTGGGGAATGGCCTGGGATGGGCAGGGGGTTGGGGCTCAGCTGAGGGTCCCTATGCCCTGCTCGTGCCTCCAGAGACACTCCAGCTGTGCAGGGATTGAGAGCAGAAATACGAGGATGGAGCAGGCTGGGGACAGGGGCCATGGGGCTGATGCAGGGGTGTGAGGGCAGCCAGGAGCGGTTGCAGCAAGATGGGGAGCTGGGCTGGGGTGAGGATGCCGGGGTGCTGGGGCTCCCTCTTGCTCCCAAGCGGATGGCGACCATGCCGCCCTGGCACCCCATCCCCTGCCCCCAGACAGCCCGGGGGTCTGTCCTGGTGCTGACGCTGCCCGTCGCAGCAGGAGGGAGCCGGCAGGATGGGAACAGCAGCGGGGCGACCAGTGCGGCGGGGCCGCCCCCAGAGAGGGGCTGCGCCTGGAGCCCCCCGGCCAACGGCAGCGAGGAGCCGCCGCGCCTGCCCACCTTCTCGCCCGCCGCGCAGGCCCGCGTGGGCATCACCCTGGCGCTCTTCGCGCTGGCCGCCGGCTGCAACGTGGCGGTGCTGCGGGCGGCCGGGGGCCGGCGCCGCGGCCGCCGCTCCCACGTGCGCCTGCTGCTGCAGCACCTGGCCGCGGCCGACCTGCTGGTGGCCGTGGTGGCCATGCCGCTGGACGCCGCCTGGAACATCACGCTGCAGTGGCGGGCGGGCGACCTGGCCTGCCGCCTCCTCATGTACCTCAAGCTGCTCGCCATGTACGCCTCCGCCTTCGTCACCGTGGTCATCAGCCTGGACCGGCACACGGCCATCCTGCGCCCGCTGGCCATAGCCCGCGCGCGCCGCAGGAGCCAGCTCATGCTGTGTGCCGCGTGGCTGCTCAGCGCCGGGCTCTCCGTGCCGCAGGTACCGGCCCCGCGTCCCCCCGCGTCCCGCGGGCGTGCGGCGGGTCCCACGTCTCATCCCTGCTCCGCTTCCAGCTGTTCCTGTTTCGCGTGGTGACCGTGCGCTCCGCGCGCAACTTCACGCAGTGCAGCACGCGGGGCAGCTTCGCCCAGCCCTGGCACGAGACGCTCTACAACGTGCTGGGCTTCGCGGGGCTCTTCGTGCTGCCACTGCTCGTCATGGTGTGCTGCTACGCGCGCATCCTCCTCGCCATCTCCCGCCGCATGGGCTCGCGCCTCTGTGAGTGCCGCGGCCCGCGCACCCCACTGCCCAGCTGAACCCCGAGCACCCCGCTGCCCAGCTGGGTCCCCGCACCCCACTGCCCAGCTGAGCCCCACGCTCTGCGCAGTCTCCTCCAGGGACGCGTCCCTGCGCTGCTCCACAAGCCACATGCCGCGCGCCCGGCTGCGCATGCTGAGGATGAGCCTGGTCATCGTCACCTCCTTTGTTGTCTGCTGGACCCCCTACTACCTGCTGGGGCTCTGGCACTGGTTCTGCCCCCGTGTTGTGGAGAAGCGGGTCTCGCAGTCCCTCAGCCACATCCTCTTCATCTTTGGCCTCTTCAACGCCTGCCTTGACCCCATCACCTACGGGCTCTTCAGCCTGCCTTGGCGCAGGGGCCGGCGCTGCCCGTGCGTGCTGGGCCCCGCGCCGCAGCCGCCCTCCCCGGCCACCGGCTCCTTCCGCTGCTCCGCGTCCTCGGTGCCGGCCCGGCGGCGCCAGGAGGCTCCGGAGCTGCCGCCCGGCCCCGGCACCCAAGAGAGCGGCGCCCTCTGAGCCCGCGGCCGGTCCGGCTCACGCCTGCCGGGACGGATGGGGCTGGTGCAGGACACGGCACCACCGGAGCCGCAGTGCACGGGTGCCCGGGCCCCTGCCCTCCTGCGCCTGTGGAGGGGCTGCAGCAGAGCTCGGCAGGGCAATAAACTGTCCAGCGGCTGCTTCTCCTGGCCAGGTGTCTGTGTGGGGGCTGGTGGGGACCCCCGGTGGGTCCTGGGGCTGCAGGGGTGGTTCAGGGGCAGTGCGGGGCACACAGCGAGGTTGGCCAGGGCTCTGCCCTGTCCCTTCTGCAGCAGGGACGTCAGCGGGTGCCGAGTGGCTCCCAGCTGCTGCTGGCACCGTCCACAGGCCCTGCTCCAGCAGCCCGCCCCGCTCGCGGCAAACGGGAGCCGCTGGCACCCGCCGAAGGTTGTTGTGAGGCCCTGGAGCTCACCCGGCTCCCGCTGCGTAGCAACTGCTCCAAGGCCGCAGCTGCTGCCGCACGCGGGAGCTGCCGGGACCCGCGGCCGAGGACAGGGGCTCTGCGCAGGGCAGCGCTTCGGGTCCCTGCCCTCCGCCTGCYGCAGCGGCTCCATGGGCAGCAGGGGGTGGATGGGGAGCTGCAGGGAACACGGCTGGTGTGGGGACCCYAGTCCTGGGTGCCTGGATAAAGCCCCTGATGTGACACCCTTACACATTGCTGTGCTGGGAATCGCACAGGGGGGTCCCAGCCCGGCACGGGCTGCAAGGTGAGCGGTGAATGCACCTGCAGGCTGGTGCAGGGGGGGCCGTGTGCGCCCAGGGCAGCACCGATGCAGCTGGGAGGCAGCTCCGGCCATGCAGGAGGACAGACACACAGCCCCGAGCTGCTGTGCAAGGGACAGACACACAGCCCCAAGCCGCTGTGCAAGGGATGGACACACAGCCCCGAGCTGCCATGCAAGGGACAAAGACACAGCCTCGAGCCGCTGCGCAAGGGACACACAACCCCGAGCTGCCGCGCAGGGGACGGACAGACTGCGCAGCTCAGACCTGCCACACAGCGGACAGGTCTGCTCTGTGAGCAGCCGGGCTGGAGACAGGCGCTGCTCCCGTCTGTGCTCCCGGAGCTCCCTCTGCCGCTCTGCACCGCTCCAGCACTGCAGCTCCGCACTGCAGCGGCCCAGGGGCTGCACGCTGCTCCAGCACTGCAGTGGTCCAGGGTCTCCATGCTGCTCCAGCCCTGCAGCTCTGCACCGCTCCAGCATTCCAGCTCTGCTCAGCTCCAGCACTGCAGCTCCACATGTGCCTGTTGGGTGCTCGGCTGTGTTGTGCTCTGCAGGGGAGCTGCGCTGGGTGCCCGGCCTGCACAGACGATGCCGTGCGTGGGGGACAGTGCTCCCGGTGCAGTGGGGAGCTGCGGCCCTTGCTGCCTGCGCCTGGGAGGTATCGGGAGYGGGGACCATGATCGCACAGGTTTATTGCGAAGAGGCAAAGCAGCAGGAGAGCGCAGCGGCTCTGCAGCAGGAGTGAGCGCCACGCACACGCTCTCGTCTCCGAAGGGTGTTGAGGGGTTGGGATGCACCATTCGCCCGCATGCCCTGCCCTGCCGGGCTCCCTGCGGGCCAGGGCCGGGGGGGTGTATTTGGGGACATCCCATGGCGGATGCAGTCTCGGCAGGGCAGGGGGCTCCCGCAGGCTCCCTTGCACGGGCCCGTGCCAGCCGCTGCTGAGGGCTCATGGCAGCTCCCAGGACACGGGCGCTGCTCTGCGTGCAGGGGCCGTGCTGGGCGCAGGGCTGCACCGTGCGGGCAGCCTGGGCTCTGCAGGGGCAGCGGGGAGGCCGGGGCTGGTCCTGCCCCTCCCCGGAGCAGCCGGCACAGGGGCTGCGCAGGGACAGGGGCTGCGGAGCCGGCGGGAAGGCAAGCGCCGCGGCGGGAGCAGCCGGATCCCTGCGTGCTGCCCCCCCCGCCGCGCCGCAGTGGCTACGGCCTCCCCGCTCCCTGCGGCTGCGCACAGGACAGGGCTGACGTGCAAACCGGAGACGCTGTCTGTCCGTGTGTGCCCTCCTGCGCCCTGCCGCCACGCAGCTCCGGGCACGGGCCCCGCTTCAGCCCCTAGGTGCCGGCCCCGCCGCTGCCCGGCCGCTTCTCGGTGAAGAAGCTCTTGAGCAGCATCACTTGGCCAACGCTGACCACGAAGAGGATGACGGTCTCCCCGACGGACCAGTAGGACACGCGGCCGTTGAGGTCCTCGGCGCGGCTGCGGTCCTGCGCTTCCCGCAGGCGGTAGTGGGTCTGCGAGTCTATCACCGTGTTGAGGGCCTCGTGGATGGTGACGCAGGCGGACTCCATCTGCGGGCACACACACGCCCCGGCACTTGTGGCTGGCGAGCATCCCTGGGCAGCTGGGAGACCCGGGAAGGGTGGGCAAGAGCCCCCTGCATTGGGCTCCAATTTTGGGGGGCAGGGAGGGAGGATAGATCCCAGTCCCAAGTGCGGCCCCCCCACGACACCCGTCCCCGTGTGCTCTGCCCTYGCTCCAGGACAGGGTGGCAGCTGCCACCACAGCAGCCAGCGGCCCCGGGCACTTCTGCTTTTGGTGCAGAAACTGGTCCTGCCTGGTGGCCCGCGGCTTTGGGCCGTTTGGCCGCAAACGGGAGCCACTTCCTGGCGCGCGAAGGGCGTCACGGCGTCCCACTAACCTGCGTCAAGGCGGTGACCCGGCTGCTCATGGCGGGCAGGATGGGCGGCTCGTCGCCCACCTGCAAGTCGAAGTAGACGGTCTTGTGCGAGAAGGTGGAGAACTCGTTGCTGAAGCAGAAGGTGTAKACGCCCTCGACCTCGGTGCGGTGCGGGAAGCTGTCGTACTGCTTCTTGGTCTCCTTGTAGATGGTCTTGCCAGTGGRGTCCTCCACGTAGCAGTCCACATCGTAGTGTCCCCCTGTGATCACCTGCGGGGCGGGATGCACGGGTGGCACCCGTGGAGCTGCTTTGGGGGCACCTCTGCTCTGCCCCGTGCATGGGCTCGTGGCCGCTCAGCTCTGCGCCCTGCGGTGCCGCAGCTCCCRTCGGATCCCGTGCCCAGGGGCGGAGGCTCCAGCACCTGCTGCTGCTTTGGGCGCACCGGGTGCCACGGTGTCTCCACCCACGTGTCCGGACACGCGGCCAGGGCCAGGAATGGCTCCCGGAAGGGCGCAGGGGGCTGGGGAGGTCCGGCTGGGTGGGGAGCGCAGGTGCAAGCGGAGCCCGGGCAGGGCCATGGGGTGCGTGGGGGGCACAGGGCAGGGGAATGGGTGGGAGCAGGGACAGGGTGCAGGAGTCCAGGCTGGGCCCGGGCAGGAGAGGGCAGAGCTGGGGGGCGCAGGGCCATGGCGCACGGTGCACAGACAGCTGCAGGGCACCCGGCAACAGCAGCAGGGTGCGGGTCGGGGTGCGCGGGCAGGGGCGTCCGGCGAGCCGGGCCGGGTCGGGGCAGTGCCGGGCCGGGCCGTACCTGGTAGTCCAGCGTGAACTTGATGCCGCGCTGCAGCTCCTGGTGGAAGCACTGCCGGGCGCTGTCGGGCAGCTCGAAGGTGAGCTCGGTGCCGGCGGCGCGGCCCGCGCCCAGCAGCGCGCCCAGCAGCGCGGCCAGCGCCCAGGCGCCCATCACCGCCGCGTCGCGCCCGCCGCGCCGCCCACGCCTGACGTGGCAGCCGGGCCGGCCCCGCGCCCGGTCCGGGGGAGGCGCCGGGGGCGGCACCGGGCGGCGCTGGGGCTGCGGGAGCGCGCGGGGCTGCGCTCGGGGACCGGGATGGGGCTGGGGGCTGCAGGGACCAGGATGGGGCTGGGGACTCGCGCAGCGTTCGGGGCCGCGGGAACCGGGATGGGGTTGGGGGCTGCAGGGACCGGGATGGGGCTGGGGGCTGCAGGGACTGGGATGGGGCTGGGGGCTGCAGGGACCAGGATGGGGCTGGGGACCGTGGGAACCACAATGCGGCTGGGGGCTGCAGGGCTCACAATGGAGCTTGAGGCTTAGAGCCCGGAATGGGCTTCGAGGCTGTAGGAACCATCCCCATGCACAGGGCACTGGTGGCTGGGGTGGGGCTCCAAGTTTTGAGAACCTGCCCTGAGGCTCCAGGCACTGGGGATGGTGCTSAAGGCACTGGGGACCTGTCCCAGGACTGTGGGCTCTGGGGAGTGGGATGCGCACCAAGATGGGGCTCAGGGCACTAGGGACCAGGCTGATGCTTGGAGCTGTGGGGCCCGGGCCTGGGACTCCAGGCTCCAGGGAACGAGATGGTGCCCGGGGCACTGGCCCTGGGAGGGCGCTTGGGGCTGGGACGGTGTTGGGGGGAGCTCCCCAGGCTGTCACTTTGTCCCATTGGGAGCTGCCCTGGTGCTGCAGTGGAGATGCGGCCCCAACCTGCCCATCCGTCCGTCCGTGCTCTGCATGTCCGATCACTGACTGCCCCGAACACAGGGCAGCTAGAGAGGAAAATCAGTCTTACCTCGGGAAAGCACAATGCTTAAGGTTTAAGGACAATCCTCAACTTTTTATTAATATAACTATAATTTTAAAAAATCTATGCTATTACATGACACTATCTTCAACTGCCTTTTTGCATTTTTATGTGTCCATATGCACACACACACTCATTTAGRTAAGTCAGCTAAAGTATTCCTGTATATTCCAGTAAAGGAGCGCCTGTCACGTTGCTGCTCCTGTGCACAGAGTGCAGGAAGCTCGTTACACGTAGCCTGCACCTTGCAGGCACTGTTATCTTAGGGCACTAACAAAAGACATCAAATGTTACTTTAAAAACCCACCAAATATTGGAATATTTTAAAATGAACTGAAAGAAAAAAAAAAAGGTGGACTATAAGATTCAAATTCACAATTTAAATATAAGACCAACATCATTAATATAGGTAAAATATGCCTGAAATTCATTATATAAGACATTTGACTTACGGAAAGTATAAACTTTTAAGGCTGTAAAAATAGAAGCCCACTTTTGATCTAAATAGGGTATTTAAATCTAAAATGCACTTTGAGAGGACATTGCGGTGCAGCCGGAGGGGGAGCAGTGCTGCTGCAGGGCGCAGGGCCGGGTGTTGCTCGGATGGCCACGGTGGCGCTGGGCTCGCGGGGCTGCGCGGCGCTGGTCCAGGCGAGCGGAGCTGGCCCGGGGTGCAGGGCTGGGTGCCGCTCGGGTGGCCACGGTGGCGCTGGGCTCGCGGGGCCGCGCGGCGCTGGTCCAGGCGAGCGGCGCCGGCCCGGGGCGTGCAGCTGCTGCCGCTTGCTGTCAAAGCGACGCCGTATTCGCCGTGGGCGGGGGACGTGTGAGATTTCATTGACTAAACCCACAGGAGATGTTCTCGCTCGGGTTTAATCTGGCAGCACGGCGCTTCAGGTAGGCTGCAGATCCCAAACATTCGCTGAGTTAATAGCACAGGGCCGTGGGCTGCTTTTCCTCTCCGAGGCGGCTCCGCGCGGGGGGAGCCTGACGGTGCCAGCGGCTGCGGCGCAGGCTCCCCAAGCAGCCCAGGCGCCGGTGCAGCGTGTCGGGATTTCCTGGGGCCTGGGCGAGGACGTGGGGCAGGGGCTGCGGGTCTCGCTGCCCGGCACTGCAAAGGGCCCCGTGCCACGGGCTGGCCCTGCAGGTCCCCACGGCGCTGCCCACACAGACCATGGGTGGGGGGTGCAGCGCTGGCGCGGCAGCGCCCGGCATGGATGAGCATGGACACGAGCAGCCCAGGGCTCATGTCCATCAGCCCCAGTGCCGTTACTGCCGCGGGGAGCGGGACAGGCTGTCCTGCTGCGGGCTCTCCTCGGCCAGGAGCTCCGTGCGTGCGCCGCTCCGTGCATGGGGAACGGCTCCGCATCCGAGCTGCTTTAGAGAAACGGAGGCCAGTCCCTTCCAGCTGCCAGCCCAGCGAGGCTCTGGGCTGCACCAGTGACAGGCTGAACTTGGTGTCGGGGTTTCAAAGTGCTCGGGTACCTCTGAGGCAGAGGTTGCCCCCCTGCCCAGCCCTATTTGAAGCCCTAAACACTCCGCTAAGGAGGCTACTCCTGCGCAGCTCACGGCATTAGCTGCTTCCCTTCCCGACAGGCACTTCACAAAGCATCATCCCGCGGCTCCCTGGCACGGGGCTCCCAGGCCGCGCCTGGGTCAGAACGAGTGGGATGGAGCAGAGATGGACCAGAAATAACGGGGGATACATGGAGAGCAGCCAGGAGCCTGCGCRCGGAGCCCCGCTGTGTCTCCGGTGCTCTGAGGAGGGATCTCCAGGGGCTGCTCCARGAACTAATTAAGAGCAGGGGCTACGTTAAGTGTTTGCGCCCGATCCCCTGTGATTCCCTGCATTGCTTTGCAGGCCTGGAAGCCGGGCACAGGCACCTCCCCGCTGAGCCCTGTGGGCAGGTCCGGTGCCCCGAGGCTGCCAGCGCTCCCCGAGCCAGGCAGCCGCCGTGCTCAGGAACCGGCACTTACATTTCTGCAGGGAGGACACCGATTTGGTAAATTTGCTGGAAGATAAAGTGTTGTCTAGCTACAGAGCCACTATTTCCTCAAAATCAGAGAGCTGCCTCATCTGCTCCACTTGCATGGAGTGCCTGCGGAGGAGCTTCTTCTTGGCTCGCAAGTCGCCCCTCCGCGGGGAGCTGGGAGCGACGGGGACGAGGGTTTTCAGTCCGGCAGCGAGCGGGGAGGAGGCTTTGGCGCTGGAGCCGATGTCGGGGATGGGCGGGTTGGGGTTGACGTTGAGCGGCGGCAGGTAGCCCGGGCGCGTGTGCGAGATGTGGTCGAGCAGCAGGGTGCCCGAGCCCCTCCTCTCGAGCAGCCTGGGCGGGCGGCGCGGCGCGCCCGCGGGCGACGCGTCCGGCGGCTCCGCGCAGCCGTTGTAGGCAGCGCCCGGGGCGCC